ATACTTATATATAAATACATTCATGAATGTTTTTAATGAATGGATTTTATAATATAAATTGCAATGTGTAACATTTTACCATATTTAGTGCAACACTTTTATTTGTTCCCCACAAAATGTTTTTTTCACTAAATGTTTGGATTTCTAAAATTATTGTGCACTGATTTTTCTAGAATAACTTTTGCCACCGAATTATCCACTAACCTAGTGTATGATATATTTTTGTCATAGATTATGAATATACATATATATTTTCATATTTATAGTTTATTTTTCTTTATAATGAAGTAGTCTGTATTTAGTAAAGGACTTTATCTTCTTGCCAGAGTTTAATGTTGTTTTGTTACTTGTTACCAGGTGTCTGTGAAAACAAAACACGGGCATATAAAAGACTATAAATAGTTTTTAACGCGCACAGTAACTGAAATTTAAAACTGTTAAAAGAAAGGCTCAATAACTGTTGCACAGATATAATACACTACGCATCAATTTCTCTTCCCTTTGTGCTTTGCACTTTTTAATGCAAAGCGCTGCGTGCTGTGACTCCGTGTTGATTCATGAATGTTTTTAATGAATGGATTTTATAATAATACAAATAGCAATTTGTACCCACAAAATATTGTTTTTTCACTAAATGTTTGGATTTCTAAAATTATTGTGCACTGATTTTTCTAGAATAACTTTTGCCACCGAATTATCCACTAACCTAGTGTATGATATATTTTTGTCATAGATTATGAATATACATATATATTTTCATATTTATAGTTTATTTTTCTTTATAATGAAGTAGTCTGTATTTAGTAGATTGTGAAAGAATGATTATCAGTTCCACACACAGAGATATATAAATTCTACATTTATTTAAATGGGAAAAAAAAAAAAAACTTCACTGGTATCGGCCAATACTGAACCCTAGGTATCGGAATCGGAATCGGAGGTGAAAAAGGGGGATTGGAGCATCCCTACTAGCTATCAGCGGCAGCTGCTTTATGACTATCAGAATATTCTGGAAAGCAATAGCCAATCATCTGGAAAAATTATTCAGTGACATGACCTGAGGTAAAGTTACATGATTTGTGTGATGCTCAACTAGGAATTTATACGGTAAATGTGTAGCCTATGTCTTCTAACAGAATACATTTTTTACATGCAATTTGAAAATTGTATTTAAATACACATGAATTGATAATAGGGATATTCATCAGGGACCATTTTCATTCGCGCCAAAAAAAAATCTTAAATCTTCTCAAGACTCTGAACTCAAAATGAGCGAAACCACAGCAAAGGAAACAGGCCATCTCACCTTGTTGATATTTCCGGCTTGCTGGGTGTTGATGCCCATCTGTTGCGCCCCCTGTGTGAGTGTCTCTGCCAGGACATTCCCCGCTCCTCCTGGTGCTGCCGCCCCCGCTGCTCCTCCCGCCCCTACAGAAGCTGCCACCTGCATGCCGGCACCCTGGTACTGCATCCCCGGCGCTCCTCGACCGCGGCCTACAGAGCCGAGAGTCCCATTGATCACCTGACCTGGCTGTCCGGCCGCATTCTGTCCCATCATGCCGCTGTTCAGCATGGCCTGGTTAAATCCCGTGCCGAGTCCCATGCCAGCTGAGCCGGCGTTATTGCCCTGCATCCCGGGAGTGCCGCCTGGTTTCTGTGTTTGAGAGGGGTGGGAAGGGGAGCCCTGGCCCAGGGGACTCTTTCCAAGCCCACCCAGCTGAGGTCCGATGCCGCCGGGCTGCGGACTGGCCAAGTTCAACCCAGCGCTGCTTCCCGGCCGTAAGAGCTCGGAGAGCTGCTTGTGCTTGGCAGCAGCATCGGGGACCATGGGGCCGTGACTGCCTGTACCTGTAGCCCCGCCGTTAGAGGACATGGACATCATCCCCAGGTCTCCATTAGGTATCAGCTCATCTGGAAGATCGTTCTCCAGGTCATCCCAGGAAAGTGAACCCAACTCTGAGGAAACAAAGAGAGAGAGAAATTTAACTTTGTGTGTGATTATTTGTTCTCTTCTTGAGGTTGTGAGGTAGAGGTCTACACGGGTCCAAAAATTCGCACCCGAACCCGAAGAGACCCGTAAATGTGCTACACTGAACCGACCCGGACCCGTCTATTATTTTGAAAGTTGGACCCGGGCCCGTGCAGGCTGGACAACTGAACCATAGCTAAGGTTTATCCAAAAAAGTCGCTAGGTTTGTCAGTATGAATATTCTATGGAAAAAGTTCGCTAAAAGGGTCTGAAAGTTGCTAAATCTAGTGCCAAAGTCTAATAAACACCGGTATTCGGTATGAACCGGTATACCGCCCAGCACTACTTCCCCCCATCCCTAATATCATTAGCCAGGTTTCTATCCATGTATTTTTATGCAAATATTGGAAAATTGCATAAAATTTAATTCGATAATAAGATATGAACGTTTACCTAAAAACTCCAAGTCGTGCAAAACAAAAAAATATAAAAAATCATGTAACTTAATGCATTCATGACATGTCACAATTACTGTAATTATTAAAAATAAAATAAGTTTCAATAAAATTAAAAGAAAAAGAAAAAACAAGAAAAAATTGGCAGGAACATTTTAAGGAATGCCGCAAAACCTTAGGTTTTGTACTTATAAACAAATATTGGGAAATTGCATAACAATTAGTGGTTGGAAATTACCAAAATGCATTAAAAAAATGTGTATGATCACTTGAAATAGATACTTTTTTTCTGTAAGAGGACTCGCAGATTTAGTGTAATATTGTAATTTACTGTAATTTAATATATGTAATTTACTGTATAAATTAATTCTTTTAAAAATCATATTTTGTGTCCCATGTGTTTCTGATTGAAATATATAGAATAGTTATGAAATCAATAAATACATACATAATTAAAATTATGGTTTATTAAATATTTTTTCCAATAAAAAAAAAGGAACAACAAAAAAAAGGTTTCTACAACTTAACCTTGAAAATGGTGAATTTCGACTCCGCATTCCTGCAAAATAAATATACGGTCAACTCTGACTAAGGTCTATTAAGTTTCAGATTTTGTTATCATTGCCATGCATTATACGACTGATAGACTGCAACGGTTGGAGTTAAAAATCATCATATGTGTTCTACTGAAGAAACAAAGTCACCTACATCTTGGATGCCCTGGGGGTAAGCAGATAAACATCAAATTTTCATTTTTGGGTGAACTATCCCTTTAAGGGTCTAACGGAAGCTGTGGTTTAGACACCATAAATGCTGTGAGGGAAAACAGCAGAGAGAGAGAGTAGTAGTCTAAATCAATATGCCATCATGAGTCGATATGCCGCTGAGTCTGCTAACAGCTTTAATAAATCCACCTCATCTACTAAAACCTGCTAATGAACGACTGACACGTTACACACACACACACACACACACACACACACAGGAGTGTGTACGATACATCAGAACAGCTGGGAGGAAGGAGACGTTCTCAATCACCTCCGTGACAGTGAGACTAACGATAGCTGTTAGTAGGGCTGTGCAAAAAATCGAATGCGATTTTCATGCGCATCTCGTCAGTACACCCGCTCCTGTGATTAGTAGTAAATCTCCAGCACGTGCTTTCAGATGGAGCGGCATTTACTACACAGAGCCGTAGTTCACTGACAAGCTACACAAAATCGCGTTCAAAATCGGCAATGAATCGCCTGCGATTTTGTAATGATTACCATTAAGACTGTTTTGCATGCTGTTTTTATAAAATCACAGGCAGAATACAGTACATGCTACACACTAGTGAGGTTTAAGTGACAATGTAGTGTACTACTGTTTGCTACGTTTACCACTGAAGACTGTTTCATATGTTTCTTTTAATCGTAGGTAGTATATACAGCGCATACTGCCAATAGTATGCCAAACAGTAGTGGGGTCAAGTGACAATGTTTGTTACATTTACCACTGCCGATTGTTTCATATACTAGTTTTATAAAATCATAGGCAGTAAGCAGTACATACAGCACAGTATGCTGCACACTAGTGAGGTCAAGCGGCAATTTAGCATACTACCAATTGTTACGTTTACCACTGAAGACCATTTTACATGCCATTTTTTTTTATAAAATCACTAGTAGACAGTACATACTACATAGTATGATGCACTAGTGTGATCAAGTGACATTTACCACTGCACTGTTTTTAAATACTATTTCTAAAAAAAAAAACAAATCTGACAGTACTCACTACATACTGCATAGTATGCCACGCACTAGTGGACCAATTAATCAGTATTATTCAGCTTTAACAATTAGTTAAAATATTGAGTTACACATATTCTAACTAGTAAATGAAATAAATGAATAAATGAAATAAATAATAAATGAAAGGTAATCACTTCAGCTTTTGAAAATGTCAAACTGTCAAACTGAAAATGTTATAAGTATATAACTATTGTACAATTACAATTATGTTTTACAATACAAATAAATATATTTGGCACATAAAATGAGATGTCAGAGAGATTTTCTCATTCACCATTTAATTATCTGTAAGTAAAAGTAACTAACGGGCTGATGCATCATTCTGCCTAGTATCTCCTTTGCATGTCATATCGATATGGAACAAAGTGATAAGACATTTTATTTTTGGATTAATTAGTTTATTCATAACATAATCTCTCTTAAAACACCTTATAGGATTATAACAATCAAAACAGTCCTGAGCTAGATTAAGCTTTGATCTCTGAAAACCAAACTATCACTTAAATGTAAAAATGTTTGCATTCACTAATAAAAAGATTTTATCATTAGCTAGCTCCACACTGGACAGCTGCTTAATAACAGAAAATCAAGCTATAATTCTAAAGGCCGGGTGTACTTCACATTCCGCGCACCGCTTCGTCTCGCGCACTAGGGCTGAACGATTAATTGCATTTGCGATAATATCGCGATATGAAAAATTTTGATTTTTCAATCGCAGAGGCTGCGATTACACGGTCACGTGACAGGCGAGAGTAAAGAGGTGTGTTCGACTTGAAGATCAGATCGGTAATCTATCTAATAGTGTGTTGGTCATACTATACAATGATTTATAGCTTGTCTTTGTTGAATAATACAGAACATAAAGAGCTTAAAAAAAAAAATTGCATATTAAATCGCAATCGCAATATTGGTAAAAAAAAAAATCGCAATTAGATTATTTTCCAAAATCGTTCAGCCCTATCGCGCACAGCCGCGTCCGCACAGCTTTCAAAGTATACTCAACTAGGGTTGTGTCGATAGACGATAGTATCGCATATCGACGATAGCCAAAGATATCGCCTGTGGCTTATGCCTTTGATGATAACAAGACGATTACTATTATTATTTTTATTATTAGGCTAATATTAATATTTAATTAATATTAGGACTTATTTGTTCACATGCTATTATTAGAAAATCACAGGTAGTATATGGTACATATTAGGGCTGAAACGATTAGTCGACAATAAAAAATTGTCGACAAATATTTTTGTTGTCGAGTAGTTTGATCTCATATGACCTAATGCAGTGTTTCCCAACCGGGGTGTAAAAAAATCATTTTTTAATATTTTTAAATTGCTAAAATGTTCAAAAAAGCATCTATTATATAATATCCATTTCTGATCTCGCAAATAATTAGAAATGCACCGAAATTCCGGCTGCCGAAAATTAGTTCACCGCTCAGGTTTCACTTTCACGTGGTGTGACACTCTGCGTATTATCCCGCTCTATGCGTGTGTGCTCCGCTCAGCGCTCCACTCATTTACCATTCATTAAAGCCCTGCATGGGCCTCAAATATAGTCCCTAGCCCGGCCCTGGCCCGTCTTTTTTTTCCCCCTTCTCCCAAAACAGCTTATACTACTGTTTCAGCTATTATAATAGTTCAGTTTTGTATGTAATGGCAAAGTTATTATATTTTGTTTAGTTTTTTATTAAGTTATTTTAGAAAAACATTTGGAGCATTTTTTGTTCGTTAAATATAAGTTTTTGTTTTTTTAAGTAACGACCAAGCGGCCAGCGGAAGACAGTGAGCCTTATGTTTGATCAATTTAGCCTTCTCAAATCATCACGACTTGCCTAAAATAAAATCTATAGATATAAAACAGTTCCAGCATATAACAATGTTTAAACGTTAAACCTAGATAAATGTGCGCTATATCCAATAGTTTGCGCGTTGAGTGGAAGCTAAAGCGTGCTTTGCAGGACATGGAGGCGATAGCGCAATCACTTGCATTTTTTTCAGTGGATACACCATTTTTGCTCATAAAGGTAAGAGTAATACATCATTCATAACTGTAAAGGGTCTACTTTTATTTGTGTGCACTCACAATATCAACAAAACGTTGTGCTCGGTCTCGTGTTGTTTCCACTAGCGCGGCAATATTTTTTTCATTACTAATTGATGGATGTCTAAAATATAAAAATAAGGAGAAGCCTAAAACAGGCCCGAGGCCCGGCCCACATCTGACATGAAAATTGGCCCGGCCCGAGGGGCGTAAAAAAGTTGTGGCCCGTCGGGCCCGGGCTGAAATGCAGGGCTCTACCGTTCATAATAGTATGTATAACTCAATATTTTAACTAATTGCAAAAGATGAATAATCAAAAAATGCCTACTGATTAATCAGCGGAATAATCGATGATTAGTCGATTAATCGGTCTAATCGTTAGATTAATCGATTATCAAAATAATCGTTTGTTGCAGCCCTAGTGCATACTGCATACTTTACTGTACACTAGTGAGGTCAAGAGACAATGTAGCATACTACTCTTTGTATTATTTATCACTGCAGACTTTCATATAGACATTTTTATAAAATCACAGACAGTATACAGTATGTACATAGTATGCTGCACACTAGTAAAGACAAGCGACAAAGTAGTGTACAACTGTTTGAAACATTTACTGTTGAAGACTGTTTCACATACTATTTTAGAAAATGGCAGGCAGTAAATACTGTTCAGTATGCCATACACTA